AATTTCAACTTGCACGTGGACACCATTCTTGGGCAACGGTGCCTCTACCACGTAGACAGCTGAGTACTGCGAGGCCAATAGATTGGCTTTCTCATTATCTTGATGTAGTACAGTGCTTCCTCCAGGGGCAGATAGCGAAGGGATATCAACGGCCTCTTTGGTGTTTCGCCTTATGTATGGGAAGAGTTTCTTCGGACACCTACGGGATTGAACAACCAGGTATTGTCCGTATTGAGCTTCGGTCGAGTGGTTGGAAGGTCTCTAAGTCACAGACGTCATTGGTCATCGGATTGAAAACCAAATCAACGATGTTTGATGTCTGACTCGGGAGCATCTGCGTTGGAGTAGAGATGTGCTGAATTAGATCGCATTTTTGTACAGCATCTGGAAACCCCCTCTCGAAATAATCTTGCAGAAGGTCGCAATGATAAAGATTCCCATTGATACTGGGTGCATTGAAGTCACGCATTATAACACAGTTTTGCCTGTCATTGGTTTTGATTGAGTCCAGAAGACGAGAGCCTGAGCCCGTGGGTACTCTGTAGGCAACTCCAGTCGTGACTGTTTGATGACCATCATAGATTCGGCACCAAAGCATTTCTGAGGCAGCGTTATTGTCGGAGAACGCTTTAAGGATGTAAACTTTGATGCAGTCTTTCAAGTAGAGAATCACTCCCCCTCCGGTCCTCCCATCAGTATGATCAGATCGCGAGAGTTGCTATCCCGGTATGCTAATTTCTCTGTCCAAGAGCTCAGCGAACAGCCAAGTCTGTAAACGCCAATATAACTGGATGGTGTTCAGAGCTGAAAAGTGGAATCTCGTCAGGTTTGTTCCTGAGGCTTCGCTCATTGGCAAGGATTACTCGCAGCCCTCAGTTTGCGCCAGCGGGCTGGGTAGCAGAAAGATTGGCTGCCAGCGCTCTCTCGGTATTCTCTTCACTGCGCGAAAATCCACAATATGGAGATCAGTTTCACTACTGGCGTGCGTAGTTCCTTGACAAGTTGTTTCATTTCAACTCGATCTTCCGGACAGAGGTTTCTCAGGACAAAGAATGTTTCGCCCTTAAGACGCGAAGTGCGCCTGAGGATGCGGCGTCATTCTTTTCACATTGACAGACGACTTTAAGGGGGGCGGAACTTCGTAGGATGTTCCTGCTTTCTACCCAGGTGGAAGACTGAGACGATATTGTTGCCCTGCTCCCCTTCGTCGAATAGATTGGATACCATTCGTTTGAGGAATGCCTGTGTTCTGGATGCCGCTGATTTTACGGCTAACCTGCTGCTACCGGGCAGCTGACCGTTGCCAAAAATGTGTCGTGCTTTCCGCTGATTTTCCGGATAACCTGCCTAAATCTGCTGTGCCGCCCCCAACCAATTCAACCCGCCACGAAATGAGAACACCAAGACCAGCCGGTCCGAGGGATCCGAATTCTGATTCTGATTGTATGAGGGCATAGTGCAATAAATATATTGTAGGAAACCACTGACAGCCAAATCGAAAATGCTAATTACTATTAATAAACACAACTCAAACGGTTCAAGTTCATGATCCGACTCGCCGCTGATTCCTCATAGATTCGCATTTTGATCTATATTCGCGTTCGATCTCTACTTGTGGATCGACCCACTGTTGGAGCACTGCTCTCAGCCTGAACGCTGACTCTCCATAACATCCTGGTCATCAAAGGTCCTTTCACCTGGGGCCACTCAGATTCCGGAACATTCGTAATACTCAAAAATCATTCTCTAGGAGGTCTGTTTTCCCTCGGTTTTTCTGGTTTTGATGCAACCGGTTTTTCGGTTATCAATTTCTCAAGTTGTGTGACTAACTAAAACACGCTTCAGTTGCGTTGACGTTGAGTTGGATTTTGCTTTGTCCCCAGTGGCTGCCTTCCTGGTTTTTCGGTTCGGAGCATGGTTCCCGCTAGCTGCATTTTCAGATCGTGCGCGCTGCCGCGTAGGTTTTCGTCCTGGTCACCTTTCCAACCGCACCTTCCTAGGCATTGTGCTCTGCATCACACAAAAACGCTCCCGCCGGTGAAGCGGAGGAGAATCGATTGTGATTGTACATGGGCATAGCAGAACGGGACATAACCGATGAGGCAGTTGGCTGTGCAACGTTTGTATCGGCCCTTTGCTTTGAGGTCAGACAGGCCAGAAGGGACTTGCCACAGTGTGGCACTGATCACAGTGGAGCCTAATGCCGGAGGAAGCCGTTCGTTTTAAGCATTCATACAGGTCGGGTTCGATATTGCAACAGGTTATGTGGGTCCATCCTTCACACAGGCCACATTGCACGGCTTTAACGCTGGGGGTGACCGTTTTGCCGCAGCTCAGGCACTTAGAGGCCATTGTTTCGTAGTGGCTGGACAAATCCAAGATTGTTTGAGACAGTAATACAAAACTCAGAAGCCAATGAAAAGCGTAAGGTGTCGCTTGCCTAGAGAAGCTACAAAGGCTGGGCACCAGAATGACTGAAGGCCAGCGTGAGAAGTCGTATGTTGACCGCCTGGATTGTTTAAGCTTGTTCTCATTGGAACGACGCGGATTAAGAGGAGACCTGATAAAAACGTTTAAGATTATAATGGGTCTCGGTGGCCTATCGATCTCTTTGTACTAGCTACCTCGGACCGCTTGCGGGGCACCATCTGAAACTCATGACGCATAGGTCCAGACTAGATATCCGAACAAAGTTTTTCCCTAACCGCGTAGCACGTAGTCGGAGTCCACTTCCCCTGCACTAGTGGAATGTAATACTATAGAAGCCTTTAAAGGAGGCCTAGATATGAATTGGTCCACTCTGTTTCCTGCATTGCACTGCGATTGGTGGATTTCATATAGTGCGAATAGGATGTCATGAATGATTTCATGAAATTATGAAACGTTCCTCTTACTCCTTTTTGTCTCTGAAGAAGTAAAGCTTGAACGTGAAAGTACTGGGGGCTTTGTTTGCTTACCGACACACGAAACGGGACGCTCGTTAGGCGGTCTTTTTCGTCCCTGAACACCTGACCTGACCAGTTCTGTGTTTATACGTTGGTATGTTATTTTCCCAACAAATATCATGATGTTATTAGCCTTTGTAGAAGTTATGAGTAACCGCATTACGTATAGAACATGTTCTTATGTATTATTATGCAAACGAATTTTTAAAAGGCGTTGACAGACGCTACTGTGTTGAGGCGCAGCAAATTATAAGAGTGATAAAGTGTTGGTTCACGCATCTACCAACACTGAGCATGTAGGCGAGACTGAATCAGGTGACTTGCCCATTACCTTTTGCTTATTTATGCAGGACTTACATTGTCTGTAGATGTTAACATGCTGACAGACTGCACCACGATTCAGTGCATCGATAGCAGTACTGGATGTTGTGGAGGCTGGTTCAGATTGAAGTTTCCTTGTCCCATCTCGTACGAGTATCTAGTCTAGGCTTCGTATAGTCTAGTCTTTAAGGCTGGTTTGACGCGGCTGGGCGCCATATCACTCTTCTGCGGGTGATGTCGGAAATAAGTGCCCACGAGAAACAGACGAGCATCATCACATAGGTGTAGCCACCGCTCCCGTTATCAATACGGGAGCGTACACCGTTTTAGCCGCTCAGTTGAAGCTCATCAGTGGACAGTTTTCCAATTTGGCGTTTAGATCGCCAACCAGGAACACGGTATCCATACTTTTTCTGTGACGAAGCTCGTTCAGTTGATGATAGAATTCATCTTTCACCGAACGAGCGATACAATTTGTAAGCGCGTAGGCCGCAATGACAAACTGGTACCGTTTGTTTACGCTCGACTTTGAAATTCTGAATGAGCCAGCCAGTTTAACGACGCACATCCGACTTTTGAATGGGATCCAGTCAACCAGGGCAGCTTCAGCCAGGGGACTCAGTACAATGCCCACACCGGCTTGGCCAGTATTTAAAGCTGCGTTATTTCCAGACAAACGCTTGCGGGGAATCACATGGTAATCACGGAACTTGCCTCTGGCGGACGGGTTTCCGGTAAGCAACAGACCTCGATCGATAGGTCCTCCACTGTCCGGGCAACTGCTGTCTTTTGGCCAATCTGCAAAAAGCGCGCACGTTGAGGCATTCCAGTCTTGGTGAAGATCGACGACTCCAAAGAGAAACGGATGAACTGACCTTTTCTGCTTGGTTGAACACAGACTGGAGCGACGCCTTGCGATTGTGAGTTGAAACTAAAAGACAAACGGCCATTGAAGAAAGATGACGCAGGGCCAAGAATTGGAGGTTGAAAACCGGAGGGTAAAAATGAAGTTGGATTGCGAAGATAATGAAAAAGCGCAAGACGGGTGATAAGAAGACTGGAAGGCTTGAGCATTAGCATCATTAACCCTATCCATCCCACTCGGTGCAACATATAGTGCGCTATTTATTATCATCTGCGACGCTTAAAGCATCAAGAAATCATGGACAAGATACTGTCAGGTTGCCCTGGCCTATATAGGAGAACGACTAGGGTTCCCAACCAAAGCCTTTGCCTCAAAAACTTGACCGCAAGGCAGCGGCGTTGTGGTAATGGGTTACAAATAGTTCGTCTCATAGAGTAAGGAGCCACCCTCACTCCAACCCCCAACTCGGAAGGCCAAGCGACTGTTTGGCCTCTAACCACTGACCAATCTGGTACGAGTGGCTCTGAAAGTACGAAAAGAACCTCCCAACCTAGCTGAGTGGATCGCTAAGGCACCTAAACCATAGCACCACGTCAAGATGCAGTCACGTCGCGATGGCCGTTAACTAACAGTAGGTTCCCTTTCTTGCTTCATTAGATACATGTAGACAGCACCTCATTGTTGCAGTGGACACATCGAGTCACCATATCATGCCATATTTTTTTCTTTTTCTCCCAAGTTAGACACAGGGGCCCATCAATGAGTTATGCTGGGAAGCCCCTCCAGTTCATGTCTTCATACTTTACCTGGATTAATTGCATGTTTACCCGGGAATACTAATGTACTTTCTCTGGGCGATGTGTGTTTTCAGTCGTAAAACCTTTTGGCGTCCGAACTATCCATTGCGAAGGTCATGGAGGCTATAGCTCGTCACACCGCTCGAATTCATCGAATTAACATACCATTTTGCAAACAACCCACCTTTTTACTCAAGATGATGGAGAAATTCCTGGCCCAGTTGACTGGTGTACGCGACCTTCCCGGCCGTCCTGCTCCTAATATATCGAGAACATCCCTGACGGAACCTCAATTAGTATACGACCGGCATGTTACGGAATCCAGTAAAAAGCGGTGGATAAATGTGGGCTTTCCGGAGACCCAGGAAATGGCGTTACGATCCAAGTTATGTGAGGAATTCGCCCGTTTGAAGTGAGCCCTATCATCCTTTTTTATGTTACCGCTCACCGGGGAGAAAGATATCCCCTTGATCATTCTAACGAAAGGTCAGGAGATTTTGTGACATAACGTCGCCATTTCGTGCATTCTCATCATTCACAAGCATGCAACCTTGATAGATAAAACAACAATATGAGATCGTAGGTGGCTAAACGTTTACGTTGTCTCAATCAGCTATTTTTGTATACAAGGTGGTGGGCGTTCACGATCGATACCGATGACCTCCAGGTGGCCGCTTTATGAAATTCATTGAAAAAGTGATGAGTGCTTTCCAAAATGGTCTACAATGAAGCAGTACTGCGGCTATTCATCTCGACTAGACCTGTGCTTCCGTACTCGATTAAAACACGGATACCAATGCAATGCGTGTCTCACCGTTTATGCAAATTCAACTCCGGCTGTGGAGAAAGCTATGTCGGGTGCAGTGATCGAAGTTTAGGTATCTGAATCAATTTACACATCCCTTTATGTTTACGCAGTCAGATAGATTCTACGAGAACCTACTTAGGTGAATTGGAAAACCGATGTGCTCTGGAAATTGCAAGGCATTTGCTGACCACCGTCGTAACGAGACCGGACCTTAACGTGACGCGACGGTTTGCGTCCCTCTTTGACCCATTGAGCTATACTGGGTCGTGCTCCCTGCCCCTTGAGAGCTACTCCCATCAGATTGGTCAGACGCCATCATCACCATTACACACGTAAGCTAGAGGTAAAAAACACCTCAGCTATTGTGCCACAATACGTAGAAAAAAAACACGCAACAGATGCATGCCAGCTGAGCTACCAGCAGCGGATGGGCATCGTTCCGGAAAGCTCTCAGTCAGCTACTAGGTAACAAAATTTTTCAACGGATCACGGGCAGTGCTGATTTTCAGCACATCAAATATTCCCATTGTAATCAGATGAATTAAGACCAGAAATCAGTTCAGGGTTAATAATTCTATTCGGTAAACTCTCTTCAGACCCAAACGTTTACATGTATGTATGTAATCTCAACAGTCTAGCAACTAAACACAGAGCCAACATAAAACCATGGAGATCAGCGGATAAGCAAGCGTCATCGAGTCATACTCATCGTGGCATGCTAGTTGAAGGTGAGCAACACACTTCAACTAATATGCGGCAGGAAGGATGCAACATTTTGACAAAAAGTAGAACAAAACATTTTTAATTTGTTTTTCACACGCCGCTTTTGCTCTTTTTTATCATTTTAATGTTTTTTGTATTAAACATGTGAATCAATACAATACTGTACACAATTCTTCCACTGATTCCGGTTGCGAGCCATGTCTTCAAGAGTGCTAATCCACTGGCACTCCTCATCTTTGGGTCCCCATCCTGGAAGACGTACGGATCCAACAGCGGCTAGACACGACGTCAGCGATTTCATGTGCTGCCGCCAGGTGTAAGGCTGACCACCACTCGGTCGCCTCCAACCAGGTCCTTGACGAGCGAATAGAGCGCGACGCGGTAGACGCTCAGGTGCCATGCGTAGGACGTGACCGAGCCATCTTAACTGGCGCAACAAAACCAATTTGTTGAAGGGAATACTCGCCTTCCCCAAGATGCGACGTCGAACGTCATTACTATTAACTCGATGTTGCCACCAAACACGAGCGATCCTCCTTAAGCATCCATTATCGAACGCAGAAAGATGACGCATGTCTTTCACGCGAATCGGCCAGGACTCGCACCCATACAACCATACTGAGCGAAATAATGCGCTGTAAACGCGGCCCTTTAGTGAGAATGAGACGTCGCGATGACGCCACAAGTGCCTGAGATTGACAAATGCTGATCGAGGTTTAGCGATGCGAAGAGGAACTTCTTTGTTGATAGTGCCGTCAGCAGAAACACAGCTCCCAAGGTAGACGAAACTATCTACCTGTTCAAGTTGTACACCTTCGAGAGTGAGCACGGGAGCAGGTTAAAGCCAATCCTTGAGCAGTACTTTACACTTCGATGGGGCAAAGCTCATGCCATACTTAGATGCTTCAACCGCCAAACGATCCAGAATGAGTTGCATACCCTGAGGATCGTCACCAAGTAAGGCGATATCATCAGCATAATCTAAGTCGGTCGCGCGCTCACCCGGTAGAAGCTTTAAGCCAAAATGTTGGAAACCTTCTAGTGCATTCGACAGAACGTCTTCGATTGCGAAGTTGAAGAGGAATGGGGACATAGGGCAGCCCTGTCGCACACCGCTGTCGACAGCGAATTGCGAGGAAAGCTTTCCATAGACCCCCACTCTGCCGGATGTATGAAGGTAAAGTGCTCGTAAGATGGCGGTATATTTCTCTGGCACCCCGTTCTTTAGTAAGCAACGCCATAAAGCAGGTCGATCAACGGAGTCAAAAGCGGCACGTATGTCTAGGAATGCAATGATAATGGGCCTGTGATAAATGTGGCGATGTTCGAGGAGCTGGCGGAGCGTGAAAATTTGATCCACGCATCCGCGGCCAGGACGGAAACCAGCTTGTTCTTCACGGTAGTATGGTTCACGTATTGGGGATAGCCTGCGAAGCAGAATGGATGCCAATAGCTTAGAGGCAACTGAAATAAGACTAATCCCGCGATGATTTGCACATGAAGTGCGAGCGCCTTTCTTGAAAATCGGAACAATAACTGATTCGCCCCAAGAGGAAGGCAGTTTCTTTTCATGCCAAATTTTTGGAACAGCGCAGTTAGCTGGTTAATGATCACCACACCGGCATACTTGAATAGTTCCGGAGGAAGTCCGTCTAAGCCGGCAGCCTTGAAGCGCTTCAAGCGTCGAATCTCGAGGCAGACTTCCGCTTCGCTGGGTGGATTCAGTGGGATGATCCAGGGGGGGGGACAACAAGGTGTACTGCGTGTACTGATGGATGGTGGAGGCCAGTTGAACTGCGAGTGAAAGTGCTCGGACCAGCGGTCCGTACGTCTCTGTTGGTTGGTGATCGGAGACTCATCTACCTCACAAATGACCTCACTGACACCAGGCTTCCTGAGGTCAGTGGACCGAAGGAGTTGGAAAAGTCTGCGAGTGTTGCCAGAGAGGGCAGCGGTCTCCATCTCTAAAGCACGCTCAGACCACCATGTATCGCGATCCTTGCGTAGGCTTTGCTTGAGCATCCGGTTGGCAGAACGGCGCCGCTCGTTGCAATCTGATTCCGCGGGGATATTTTTGCGGCGTTCGAACAGCTCCAGAGAACGAGCAGAGATCCAAGCCTTCAAGGGGCGTCGAGTTAGGCCGCAGGATGACTGTCCGGAAATGGTCATTGCCTTCCGTATACAAGTCCCGTGTTCCATTTCTAGCGGTGGATTGCAACTGAGTGCATATGCCAGTGAAGACTGGCAGCTCGCCTGGACAGAGGAATCAGTTAATCTGTTTACATCATTTTTGTGGTGCTTCTTGTTTTGGGATCCTCCAAAACACACAGATTTTCGCGCAGATCAGAGCATGATCTGAGTCAACGAAGGTGGACCAAAAGGACCTGCAGTCCAGTACGCTGCCGCGCCATCTGAAGCTAATTGCAATGTGATCAATTTGAGACCACGGTTGTGTTGGCGAAGGGGGACGCCACGTTGCGGAACGCTTCTTCGTACGCCTGAAGTTAGTGCTCGAAAGAAACAGACGGTTGTCTTCGCACAATGTGCGAAGTCTCTACGTTATCAGAGCGGTTCTCATCGAGCGAGTGATGACGACCAAGGTGGCGTTCATATGGTAACAGGCGGCCAACGCGTGCATTAAAATCCCCAGCAAGGATAATGACACCCGACTTTTTAGCATTAGTCAAGAGCTGTTGTAGAATTCGTCCTTGACTGAGTCACCACTGCAGAGAGTTGGAGCGTACACGGAGATCACAAACAAGTTGTGTTTCTCTTCGCGGTGCCTGTTGATTCTACATGAACTCCGAAGCCGAACTGCACATAGTCGGCTCTTAATGGGGAACCATTCCAGTAGTGCCGCCTCGGCCTTGTCACTTATTGTTATACCTACGCCAGCCAAACCCGCTGAGGCTGCTTCTAGATCTCCAGAAAGATGCAGATGATATCTGGCTTCGTGGTCACTGGGGGATGTCAATGTAAGCACAGTGCTGGGATCTTGCAATCGGGTTTCTGAAAGGCAGCGGACATCAATGTTTAGGGTATCTAGCGTGTGCGCTAGACCGGCTTGCTGTCCAATCTGCATGAGTGTCCGAACGTTGAAGCACGCCAGACGGAACGAGGATCGGGGACGAAGGAGAACCATAGGTTGAACTGCTTGGTCTGCGGTGCAACCGGAATCGCAGCCAGATTGTTGAACACATGAATCGGGTAACGGAAAGTGAGGATTGTTAACAAACAAACAATTGGCGTGTGATGAAGTCGCGTGAAAGTGACTAGCAGAAACAGTAGCTGATGAGCAAGCTGTAATACAGTCCATGGTTTTGCGAGAGGGCGTGATACTACCCCGTTTGCCCAAGCCGAAGTAGGGAGTTGACTTAGAGGATTCCACCCCGAGCCTTTGGCTAAATAACCTACCCGCGAGGCAGCGGGGTGAATTTAGGGAATCGCGGCCATTGGGAGGCGCTGACTGAATGTTCAGTTTACGCGTCTTTGTTTAGTAGATCACCAATCAGGAGTCCAATACTCCTCATGACATCAGCACAATTGCTGGAATACAATGTCCCACCGAGGTGGAACATTGTCGACGAACCATTTGCTGGAACGGCGAACACCCGAACCACCCAGATGGCACCACGAGGAGGTTGTTCGGCAAGCCACCGATTGTGTGGGGTAAGCGTCAAATCGGGCTGGGATTGATTTCTAAGGTGTTTAAACGATCAAGATCGATGACTGAATGCGGCTACAGATGGGAAGAAAGTGCACCAAAGGAAACGTAATACACAAGCTTCAGCAACCTAAAGTCACGAAGGGGATTAAGTAACCATGTCAGTCAGCCACGGTAGTACTATCGGCCGTACGAAACGTTTGTGTACACAATTCCG